ACTATATTTGGGCAAAAATGGCCGCTCCCAGACTCAGTGGTTGCGACGACAATAATGATTTTTTTACTGATTAACGCTAAATTCATTAAATCACTGCAAACGTATCAGTTTTAGGTATAAATAATGATCCATTGATTATTTCCCGCTGACCGGACTTCCTTTAAATTCCAAATGAAAGAGCAAAGTTTTCCCTAAACATGTTTTAACCTTGGAAATTATCTAAATGACACAAACTGCTTATTTCAACATTTTTATTTCCTGTTTTAAATGAAAATAAACTATTAACAGATGAAATAAAGCTGCAGCAGCAACAGAAACAGCCGATCGTTAGGAAACAGATTAAAATCAGGATAAAAGCGCAGCTCTCCGACATTCTGCTCAAACCTTCAACCCAAAAATACAAACAGAGTCATGGAGGGAAACAAGTCAGCGAATAAACCAGATCTCCGATCCGAACAGGAAGGAAGCTGTTTCTCATCTTCTGAGAAGGTCTGGATCAGCTGGAAGAAGGAAGAGCAGAAGAGTTCATGATGAGAACAATTCACTTTTTTCATCTAATCATCTGTTGAACGTTTAGTCTGAACGTTTCCATTAGCTGCTGTTAAATGCTGAACATTTGAAGGAGAAACATCCTGAGCTGCTGTAGCTCCAAAATATCAGATCCTGTTGTTTTCATCAGCTTGTTTTCCTGTGCAGCTCAGGGTTAATCTGTCTCTCTAACAGCAGCCCAGCAGTTAGCAGCCTGCAGGTTAGAGGAGGATCAGCAGCAGACAGACGGAAAGAGGAGGAGAAACGGATCAGAAAACTAGATCCACTCCCAGAACCAACAAACGGATGTCATTAGGTCCACAACCAGAGATGGAAGCAAAAAGCATTTAATGTACATTTAAAATGGCCACCAGGGGGCAGCAGCTGCAGCTACGGGGAAGAGATTCACCTGTTCGCCATGGCTCACCTCCTCAGAGGAACCACTGACCTCTATTTATTCACTGGATGGCTGATCGCCCATTGGAAGTACAGGGGTGAATGAAGCCACCGGCAGCCATATTGGTACTCCCTAGTTAGACCGGTGCGCTACAGCATCGAATAACGATGATGTTCTCATTTTCAGGGCGGCTTAAGACTTTTAAAATAAAGATAAATTCATCACTTTGACACAGACTGGTTGTTTCATAGCATCAGTTAACTTTAACTTAGAATAAATGAATAGGGCCATTACAATGCATCATTATGAAGTCAATGAAGTCTATAAATCATGTAATATAACATATTATACAATCCATTACAATAGAATTAATGTTTTAATGGAGCATAATTATATAGATGAGCCAAATGTGATAAATGTAACCCCAGTGGC